CCTGTGACAAAGAGCTTCATGGCTTATCGGATTCCTCCAGTATTAAACACACATTCAGATTCTAATCGTTGTTGCTGTTGTTGACCTAGAAAGACCTCGAGCATACCTCGATGACCCTCTCCAGATGGTGACATTCCAACTTTCTCTTGAAGAGGTGATGGCCAGTCACGAGCTCAGCAGCCACGCAGCCCAGGGACCACATGTCCACGGAGCACGTGATGGGCAGCTTGAGGTACATCTCTGGCGCTGTGTACTGCTCCGTGCCAAACCTCTTGAAGACTACAAAAAAAGAACGACAACAACAAAAGATGTCGATATATCTTGCATTAGCATCTCTTGCCATGGGGGCGAGAGATGTTAACTATGTCGCCTGGTACACAGGGAGGTCGTGGGTTCGATACCGACCCTGATGCCCACTGTGGTCGCGTGGATTATTCTCAAGGCAGGCACGGCACACGGCGGGGTGGGTGGACAGCACCACGCCCGGCCGCCTTTGTCTCCCCAGTCGCAATGTTTACACATCGCACCAGGTACTCATTTGAGGCCGAGTCGATCTAGGTGAGGCCCAGGACCGGTTCAGATAATCGTCACCGGTGTTGGTGTGCCGTGAGTGGGAATCGAACTCGGGTCGCCGGGGTTTATAGCGCAGCGCACTAACCGCTACACTAACCGCTACACACACACACAGTACACACACAGAGTACACACACAGAGTACACACACACAGTACACACACACAGTACACACACAGTACACACACACACAGTACACACACACAGTACACACACAGTACACACACACAGTACACACACACAGTACACACACAGTACACACACACAGTACACACACACAGTACACACACACAGTACACACACAGTACACACACAGTACACACATACAGTACACACACAGTACACACACACAGTACACACACAGTACACACACACAGTACACACACACAGCACACACAGTACACACAGTACACACACACAGTACACACACACAGTACACACAGTACACACACACAGTACACACACACAGTACACACACACAGTACACACAGTACACACACACAGTACACACACACAGTACACACAGTACACACACAGTACACACACACAGTACACACACACAGTACACACACAGTACACACACACAGTACACACACAGTACACACACACAGTACACACACACAGTACACACACAGTACACACAGTACACATACACACAGTACACACAGTACACACACACAGTACACACACGCACAGTACACACAGTACACACACACAGTACACACAGTACACACACAGTACACACACAGTACACACACACAGTACACACACACAGTACACACACACAGTACACACACACGTGGTGCCACGACAGCGAAGCCGCCCCGTGGGAGCCGTGCCTGCAACGGGGGTGCTGCAGCGGAGAAGCCACCCGGCCTCCGTCACGGCGCTTCCCCCGCCACCCTCCACGTGAACACACACCTGCACTCACGTAGGGCCTCGTGGGGGGGGGGGGGGTCACCTGCCCCTGAGTTTTTACCCGAGAGCCCCCCTCGTGGGGGTGCTCCACGGTTTCTCAGGGCCAGGGAATTGGCAGCCCCCCCCAGGCCGAACGACACTGCGGCGCCGTGGATTAATCTAACATTGTATGGCCACGGCGAACTCACTGAGAACCGCAATGAGGAAACACCCAAAACACACGCGGATCGGCAGGCAGGTGGGGGGTGGGGCGGTACAGGAGGTCCTGCATGCCGTGCACTTGGTTAAACAATAGAGGGCGGGCGTCGGGGAGGAGGGATGATCTGATTGGCAGAGAGCGGGAAATCCGAGGCTCCTGATTGGATGAGAGACCAGCGGATCGGCGGCGCCTGGGCTTTGAAGTAGGGGAATAAAAAGGGTCGAAAATGAGAAGCAGGCCTCTCTTTTGCCCGGGGTCTTTTGGAGTGAGGGACCGAGGAGTGATCGTCCCCTGCTACTCGAACGTCCGTGAGACGGGTGGCAGAGCAGCCAGGTCCAGCCCCCCAGCAAAAGCCACGTGCAGCCTCGCCTCTCTGCGACTACCTACACCTCGAGAGCGGATCGTAAGTACGGAGAGGGGAGGTAAGTCTAAGAGGGAATATCCGTTAAGGAGAGTGAGTAGGGAGAGACGGGACAAATTGGGTCCTAGACCGTAGAGAGATAGGTTAGATCTGCCCTGCTGGTCCACACTGACACAGGTTGGGTGGCTTCATTAATCGAGGAATAAATCGCCAGTAGACATTAAACCGTGTCGTGTTGTCTCTGTGAGTACGGAGGGGGGTGCCTGGTGTTGTGAGCCTGTTCGTTGTGGTTTCCTGCGTTTTCGCACAAGCGTATATTTTGCCCGCGCGTGCACGCTCGCTGTGCACGTTAACTTGTGAGCCCGCGCGTTGTGGTGTCCCGTGTATTCTGCCCGCGTGGGTACTCTCGCCACTGGGCAGCTCGTGGTTGGCGTGTACGAGAGGGGCACAGCGGCGCATTCGCAAGGTGGTTAGTGCAGCCATTTAAATCATGCCACGAGGGGCAGCCGCGAGGGGGGGAGAGTCGGAGAACGGTGGGTCACAGGAGAACGGGGAGATGGGGGGCAGTCTCCCCAACACACACCCACTCATGTGAGCTCACTTACAATTGGGACACTCTTGAAAGCTGAGACCAAAATCTGCGAGTCTGACATCGCTGGTGTCTTGGTCCTTGATGAGGATGTTTTCCTGGAGAAGACAAAGATGTTAGATACCTCGCCTGGTACGCAGGAGGCCGTGGATTTGATCCCAACCCTGATGTCTGCTGCTGCTGCTGTATATTTGGAGTGTACATGTTTTCCCAGTAGTTGCATGGATTTTTCCGGTTTCTCCCTCCACATTTAGAATCAACATCAGACGCTGAGAGTATTCGGCTGATATATATGTTTCCACATGATGATTAGCCACTGCGTTCAGCTATCATTTTTGATAGCCAGGTTGCTTCTAAAAAAAGCTACACAGCTCAGTGGGGCCTTAAATAAAAAGTAGTTTAGGTTATAGTTTCAAAAACACTCCTGGATTGCGACTCTCTACTTCAGTTCTAATACTAATGGGTCATCTGTTTTACGATAGGGTTCAACTATTTTTTAAATCGTGAATTTGTTTCCTCAAAAAGTGTGAACGTTGCAAGTCAAAGTTATTGCTACGCAGACCTCCTGGGGGTACCGTGAGGTGATTTATAAAGTAAAGTGATTTATGAACGTGAGGTGATTTATAAACGTGAGGTGAAATTATATCAGACGAGAGAGTCATTGGTGAACAACCGTGTTGTATAAATCTACCGATATAAAATAACGATAACATTTAAATCCATATGGTAACCTATAAGGATATAACAAATGACGTCACGCGTGCAAAGCGCGCCCGTTGATTTTTGTTTGTATTCGCTTGCAGTTACTGGCCAGTTAGCATACTTCGCAAAATGGACAATTAGTTAAAGTATTGATGTTCATTATTCATACATTTATTTATCAGGACCATGTTGGGTCAGGCAAGGGGGGTACTCGGTTGAAACAAAATTCAGGGAGCTGGTGGGAACGTTGGGTTGCTCGGTCAATGGCCAGGGTCAACGGCGGCACCACGTGGTGTATTCCGCAAATATGCCCGACTGTGAGGGCGGGCACAAGCCGGCGTGAGTAGGTTAAACGTTGAGTTTTATAAGGGCACCACGAGGTGACCAGCCCCACCCAGCCCCACCCCTCCCACCCCCCACCCAGCCCCACCCTCCCCACCCAGCCCCTCCCCACCCTCCCCTCCCCAGCCCCTCCCCACCCTCCCCTCCCCACCCAGCCCCTCCCCACCCTCCCCTCTCCACCCAGCCCCACCCCTCCCATTTTATCCGGGTGTCCGGATACACGTGAACAGACATCCACAGACATACACAATTAATCCCCTGCCTCCTGTGAATTAATCCCGGTTGGGCTTCCAGTCCACTACGTCTCCTACTACCAGTATAACCACTGGCTTAGAGCATTGTCACTGAGATGCACGAAGCGCTGTGGGTGGGGCGCTGTGGGTGGGGCGCTGTGGGTGGGGCACTCTGGGTGGGGCACTCTGGGTGGGACGTCAATGACGCTGCAGGCCGTTGTATTCACTCACCGGCTTCAGGTCTCCGTGAATGATTTTTTTATTCTTGAGTTTCTGCAGGGCCTTCAGAATGGACCTCACGTACACCTTGGCCTCGGGCAGGGTAAAGGCCGTGGGAGCCAACTTGAGTTGCTGTCTGAGGTCTCCCCTGCGAGACAGAGCGGCACGCATGGTTACGCTCCCTTCTTCTTCTTCGTGACCAATGCGCATGCGGCGCGTATTGGAGACGAGGCTCCTCGCAAGAGCCGGATGTCGACTCTACCGTAGCCGGTCGCTCACAAACATTCCCCACGCCGGTGATGTAGGGCCCCGTGGGGGACAGTGTCCTCGTGCACGGCTGACAAGTGCTCCCGTTTCCCATCGCTGTTTATAATCATGAAGCAGATGCATTGTGTTATGTGTATGTATGTTGCGGGGAGGAGGCTCGTGATGGACGCTGCTACTGGGCAGTTGGAGGCAGTCGCCCTCCAGCAACAAGGGAGGGCGGAGGAGCGACACCCACAACAACTCACGTCAAAAGCTCAAGGACCAGACTGAAATGGCCCCTGAAGGTGAAGGTGTTGAGGAGTTTGATGACGTAGTTGTTGTTTTTCTCTTTCGACTGCAACGCTTTAAGCATCTGCACCTCCCTTTTGGAATGGTATGGCTTGGCGCTGCGGAGAGAAAAGTGGTGAACGAGTCTCACCCCGCTCTTAGTACTGCACGTTGAGAAACAAGGTGGCCGCATCAACACATTTCTTTAATAATAGAGGTGTTTTTCTGGTTCGATCGCGTAAATATATAAATGTTGTGTCATTAAAACCCGCCACCACCCGACACAGCCAACTAGTAAGGGTTGTCACGTAAACAGAACGTGGCCAATTCGTCACTAGTACAGCACTCGTGTATAATGTAGTGTATAGTAGTGTGTAGTGTATAGTGAAGTGTATAGTAGTGTTTAGTCGTGTGTAGTGTATAGTGACGTGTATAGTAGTGTATAGTGTAGTGTATAGTGGTGTAGTGTATAGTAGTGTATAGTAGTGTAGTGTATAGTAGTGTAGTGTATAGTGTAGTGTATAGTGTAGTGTACTAGTACAGCACACCGGTGTGTTGGAGAGCCAAGCCACAACATTTACAATCTGAGTACGACGTTTCGCCAGTAATTACAACTAGCTTCATCAGGCGACAGCCAGATTTGTGGAGAAGGCCACCTGTTTAGTTCCTTATATAGAGGCGTAGATGTGGTGACCACGCTTCTGCGCTCTTGCACCACGTGGGGGGGGGGGGATTACTGAGTTAACATACATGATGCATGTACATTATGTGAACCCTTTGATCTTGTCCTTCCTGTCCATTGTGTGTATTAAAATAGCCGTACCAACGGTAATCCCTATTGAAGTATGGTGCCCTTTATAGGCATGCATTTAAATCATGTATTATTTGATGATTCCCCCACGCACCTCCGATTAACACGGTTGGCTACGTACGGCACGAAAGAAGTTCAACATATATACATCCCCATCGCAGGAAGGTGGAATGCCTTAACAGTGCAACCCAGCAATTTGGGTAAGCACTCCTCCCCATAACTGCACCTGAGCTAGCGATGGAAATTTCTAAATATTACAGGGACCACTCATATAAAAGGAATTCCACTTCGAACATTTTCTTTCCTGATGATGTTTTATCTATAATACTATTCAGAGAGGAAACATCGACTGCTGATCACTATCTAGATTTTTCAGCATTGTCTCCTATAAATATACACCGATGCGAGTTGATTTAACACGCAGGATTTCGTGACTAATATTATTAATAATAAAAGGATTTTGGGTAGGATCGCATAAATGTGAATGTATCGTTAACCCACCACCAGCCGACACAGCCAATCAGTAAGGTTTGTCGCGTGAACAAAACGTGCCAATTATCTATTATTTAAGCACATCGGTGTGATGGCGAGTAAACCCACAACATTCACAATTGGCTATTCAAGACATCATATATTGATTCATTATGATTAACCCATCTGGTAATATGTCCTGCATATTTTCAGATTAACATATTCCATTGTGACTTATATTACAGTAGAATAAACCCCCCTCTGATCTTTGCGCCTGATAGGCTTACGGTGATGATGTCATCTTGCTCAATTAAAGACTGGAAGGAGGAAGACGTCTTCACAATTCTGGAAAATCGCCTGATGATGCTGGTTGTAATCACCAGCGAAAACGTCATATTCAACTGTAAATGCTGTGGGTTTACTCTTCATCGCACCGGCGTGCTGAAGTAATCGCTAATCGGCACATTTATATTCACGCAATCTCTTCAAACTCTTCTCTTCACAATTCCAGATATAAACTCACTATGATTCGTGCTGCAGCATTTTCACAGCTACTTCCCGCTTATGTTTGTGATCCAGGCATCGGATCACCTGGCCATATGCTCCCGCTCCGAGCACACTCAGGAACTGGTACCTATATGCCAGATGCTCATCCTGGACCTGGAAAACATTACAAAAGAATTCGATTTACACTCAGATAAAACAACATTTTCAAACCAAACTGTTATTTTTATTTTGCCAGGTAAGACCCGCTGAGCTATATAGCTCTTTTTCAGAAGCGACCTGGCTATCACAAATGATATCGCTCAACGAAGTGACTTATCACGTGGAAATTTATAGCAGCCAAATACTCTAAATGCGTGACGTTGATTCTAAGTGTTGAGGGAAAACCCAGAGGACCCGGAGCAAAATCCACGGGACCAAGGGGAGAACATGCAAACTCCAAATATACAGCAGGCTATTGAACCCACGACATCCTGTATACCAGGCGAGGTAGTTAACATCTCGGCACCATTCAGTCAGTGCTCAATCACAACTTAGCACTCATTTAACCAGTGCTCAATCGGTACAGTGCTCGCATTCATATTTTTCAGAGAAAATTATTAAAAAGTATTGGAATCATGATTTTTGTCTGTCCGTATACCGATCTGTCTATGAGCACCAGTGGCTGTGATTCGTGAACACATTTTACGGGACGCAGACCAAAAGATTTGTCAGCCTCCAGAGAAGATCCCGAGTGTTGGGTGGCAAAGTCTACAATCCTGACGTGAACATTGCCACCATGTGGGCTACGTGAAATGGGGAATGTAAGTTAACTGGCACTGCTACAAGAGGCATTACTCTGACATGCGGCACAGGGCCTCAAATCGTTGCTTTTTTAACTCGAACATCTAAAAGCCCCAATTTTTTTTTTATTCTGTAAGGTTGAGGTAAAAAAAAATTACCTGATGAAAAAAAATAGGCAACAGTACAGGAGGTGTGAAGATGTTTAAACACCAAATAGACACCCACTGTAAGGCATCAGGTATGCGTTAACCACACACCATCGTGGTAAGAGACCCAAGCAAGCTCGTTCTGATAATATCTGGGTGTCTACTTGGGTGTCTGAACACCTCCTGCGTTGTTGTTGCCAGGAAAAGGTGGAGCGTCTTCTTTTCTCTTCATCATGTTGATACTGGCAACAACATTTCCCGTAATACAATTTCTCTATACACTTGCAGTAGCAATCCAGTACATCACTCAGACAAAGTGTAAGTAAGCGTGCAGTGTTTTTGGGGTGTTATTCATAATGAAGGTTTTTTTTTGTTAGATCGCGTAAATATAAATGTGTTGTTAACCCACCACCACCTGACAGCCAATTAGTAAGAGGTTTTGTCACGGGAATAAAACGTGCCAATTAGTAACTGCTTCAGCCCACTAGTGTGTTGGAGAGTAAACCCACAAAGTACTCAAATGGTAAATGTTGTGGATTTACTCGTCAACACACTGGTGTGCTGAAGCAGTCACTAATTGGCACGTTTTATTTACGTGACAAACCCCGATACTAATTGGCTGTGTCGGGTGGCGGTGGGTTAACAACACATTTATATTTATGTGTTCTGACCCAAAACATTTTTTCATTTTGGATAATATTGGTCACGAAATCCTATGTTTCGATTTAAAGCTTTCGTGACTGCAGGGATTCATCTTCTTGGTTCTTTCGGTAAAGTCACCACGTAGAATGGAAATAACAAAATAAAACATAATAAAATAAAATTCTCACGACGTTTCTGCCACAACACAAGTAGCCTTCTTCAGGTGAAGGAACAGAATTGTCGGGACGACAGCGCTTCAATGAACACTGCTAAGCTTGGCAGCGTCTTTTAAGCTGTGTTGGATTAGCAGTGTGTTGCTAATCCAACACATTAACACAGCTACTTCAACGCTAAATTCTTCTGTTGATATGTAAACTCCTTTGTCAAGGCGCTTTGCTCCTCCCACCCAGCTTAAAAGACGCTGCCAAGCTTAGCAGTGTTCATTGAAGCGCTGTCGTCCCGACAGTTCTGTTCCTTCACCTGAAGAAGGCTACTTGTGTTGTGGCCGAAACGTCGTGAGAATTTTATCATGTTTTATTTTTATTATTTTATTTCCATTCTACGTGACTTTACCGAAAGAACCAAGAAGAGAAATCCTATGTGTTAAACCAGGGGTGTTATGTTTACAGTGAGATGTGAATTGGTTGGAAACCACATGAACCTTGGTTGAGGGTACGTACCAAATTGTAGTGGTGACTTGTGAAATCATGGACATCGTTGAAAGAACTCTGTGATGGCTGACGGATCTTGAAATAATAGATGCGCTTGTAGCGTGTGAGTTCATCATGCTCAAACGGTGTCATTCTACTTCCGAATTTCCAGAGGATATCTGCATGCACACACACACAAAACAAAGACAAACATCCCCCGTATATCCTTTAATGGACTGTTGGAACAAGTGCTGTGAGCGAGTAGCACCTATGAACGTCGGCGCTGTGGCACACAAGGGAGGTGGGTGGCCAACACCACGCCCGGTCGCCTTTGGCTCCCCAGTGGCGACGTTCACACATCACACCTGTTAGTCATTTGAGACCGAGTCTACCTAGGGGAGGCCCAAGACCGTTTCAGATAATCGTCACTGGTGTTGGCGGGCGTGAGCGGGAATCGAACTCGGGTAACCGGGTTTGTAGCGCGGTGAACTAACTGCTACACTAGCGCTGTCCATACACGCACACATACACGTACGTACCAAGAACGTGTATGTGCATTGAAAGCAGAGTAAGCATCAACAAGGAGAGCATCACTTACAAGAGCTCAGTCTAACCTCTTACGTGTCTTCTATTGAGGGGTATAGCATCGTTGAGGGATGAGACTTAATCATGGAATGGAAGCCAAAGGAGGAACACGCCCAAGAAGAAATTACGCAATCGGAGAAATGAAATGAGAACGTGTGCAGGTTCTAGGACTGTTGTATGGCGGGATCATGCGATTATGGAGATGTTCTAATCAGAGGTGCGGGGAAGGACAAAAAACTAACACAAAAATCAGTTTTAAAGAAATTAGTTTGTCAATCTAGATGATTTAAAAGTGCATAGCTCCAGAGACGTAGCAGTGGATCGGGCGCTACGATTATACTGTAGTGAATGGAGTAGTACCGGTAGGCGTGTAGTGCATCCCTGCCTCTGCAATGACGACAGGTTCATCCATTGCTGCTAGTCACGCGCGGACACACAAACGCACAGATATATCAGTAACGCCTTCATCACGTACAACGCGACGCACACATGATTGCCCCATGACGAAAATTTAGCAGCATTCTCTTGAAAAATAGCCATGAGACACACGGTGGGGCCCTCCTGGGTAAACAAATGCAACAAAACGACACAGACAAGTGGATAATTTAATCCATGATAGAGGTTTTTTTTGGGTTAGATCGCGTAAATATATAAATGTGTCCTTAAAACCCGCCACCACCCGACACAGCCAACTAGTAGGGCTGTCACGTAAACAGAACGTGCAAATTCGTCACGAGTACAGCACGCCGGTGTGTTGGAGAGCCAAGCCACAACATTTACAATCTGAGTACGACGTAAAATAACGACAAATTTATATATTTACGCGATCTAACCCAAAAAAACCTCTTATGGATGATATTGGTTGCGAAAGCCCACGTGTTAAACGGATCATTTAATATAAATCAGTTTTAGCTAAGGGATATGTGATCACTTAAGGTGTTTATGTGGCATCGATTATCCTGGACCTCAATAGAGATTGTACCCATGTCTGTACTGTGCAGAGGGCTTGTGAAATAAAACGTCAGTGTTTTTGATGTAATTACGCAAACGGAGAAATGAAATGAGAACGTGTGCAGGTTCTAGGACTGTTGTATGGCGGGATCATGCCATTATGGAGATGTTCTAATCAGAGGTGCGGGGAAAGACACAAAACTAACACAAAAATCAGTTTTAAAGAAATTAGTTTGTCAATCTAGATGATTTAAAAGTGCATAGCTCCAGTGGCTTCCTAATATCGGAAGGAAGAGCGTTCCAGACGGCCGCAAAAGCATATCTGAAAGTGCGCGATGCGGTGACCACTGTCTTTGATCGTGGCTGTTGATAATGCAGTGAACTCGAGTTGTGCGTGTGTGCGCTAGATGCAGAGACGTAGCAGTGGATCGGGCGCTACGATTATACTGTAGTGAATGGAGTAGTACCGGCAGGCGTGAAGTGCATCCCTGCCTCTGCGATGACGACAGGTTCATCCATTGCTGCTAGTCACGCGCGGACACACAAACGCACAGATATATCAGTAACGCCTTCATCACGTACAACGCGACGCACACATTCATGCGTCGTGGGCCAGTGGATTGCTGCCAAGGCAACCTGACGGCGTGGCCGCACGTTCGCCGATCGTTGCAAGAAGAGGTTCGCGGTTAGACTCCAGCGGCCGCCCTGGATAATGCTGCAGTGTGTATCTATGATGCGAACGCGACGTGGACGCACGTGCCGTTTTCTTCGCGGCAAACGTTCAAGGTCCCGTGACACAAATAAGTGCAAGAGTAGCCGATTATGTGCCGGCGTCTTGATCCAAATTGAGTAAATTACTCAATTGGAAAGTAGAAAGCAATCATTGCCCCCGACTGATAAATAAATAAGAAAAAAGGTTTTACCATTTCTGGGAATAACACAAGGTGTTAAAATGTTCACTCACCAAATAGACCCCTATTGCAAGGCATCGAACCTGCATTAACCACACATACTTGTGGTAAAACATGCAAAGAAACACGCTTTGATAATAACGTAAGCATTGTGCTAGAAACTGACTGGCCCTCACCAGAGAGAGCTTCCTTTGTGGCCTTGTCTCACCAGTGATATAGAGCAGAGAACAACGCCAAAAGGCAAACGTCGCCCCTACGACATCATCACCCCTACGACATCATTACCCCTACGACATCATCGCCCCTACGACATCATCACCCCTTTGTCATCATCGCCCCTACGACATCATCGCCCCTACGACATCATCACCCCTACGACATCATTACCCCTTTGTCATCATCACCCCTACGACATCATCACCCCTTTGTCATCATCGCCCCTACGACATCATCACTCATATGACATCGCCCCTTTGACATCATCGCCCCTATGACATCATCACTCCTATGACATCGCCCCTTTGTCATCATCGCCCCTACGACATCATCACCCCTACGACATCATCGCCCCTATGACATCATCGCCCTATGACATGATTGCCCCATGACGAAAATTTGGCAGCATTCTCTTGAAAAACAGCCATGAGACACACGGTGGGGCCCTCCTGGGTAAACAAATGCAACAAGTAGACAAGTGGATAATTTAATCCATGATCGAGGTTTTTTTGGGTTAGATCGCGTAAATATATAAATGTGTCGTTAAAACCCACCACCACCCGACACAGCCAATTAGTAAGGGTTGTCACGTAAACAGAACGTGGCCAATTCGTCACTAGTACAGCACACCGGTGTGTTGGAGAGCCAAGCCACAACATTTACAATCTGAGTACGACGTAAAATAACGACAAATTTATATATCTACGCGATCTAACCCAAAAAAACCTCTTATGGATGATATTGGTCGCGAAAGCCCACGTGTTAAACGGATCATTTAATATAAATCAGTTTTAGCTAAGGGATATGTGATCACTTAAGGTGTTTATGTGGCATCGATTATCCTGGACCTCAATAGAGATTGTACCCATGTCTGTACTGTGCAGAGGGCTTGTGAAATAAAACGTCAGTGTTTTTGATGTAAGGGGAACTGATATCTGTGCGTATACTTTCACATGAGCCGTTGTCCATGCTGTCAATTGAGCTTGTGTCACTGTTTTGTGATGTGAGTTTGTAGCATTGGACTGTCAGGCGAGCATGTATTAGGTATTAACATCACCTCAGCCCATCATCTCTCAGGGTTGATGAAATAAGCACCAAATAAATACCAAATAAAATTAGTGGAAATGCCCGAAGTCCCTTGGCAGGTTGTCTCCGCACAGGATGACCTCAATGATGCACTTTGAACTCATCTAGATTGAAAGCAAATTTATTTAGAACTGCTTGTTGGGGGCCATCCATTTAGTACGTACGCATGGAGGGGGGAGGGGGCGGTTAACCCAAATGCGTATGCTTGTGTATGGGGGGTCGACTGACAATGTACGTACGCATAGGAAACGGGGGGGGGGGGGGGTGAAGCCTCGATAATAATTTGTCTATATTGGCCTTCAAAATAGTTAGATAGTCCTTGATCGTTTCTGCGTGGATTCAATATCAGCCGTTCTATAGGATTCGGGGGGGGGGGGGGGTGCTTCAAGCGTATGTACGCAGGTGGGGCGGGGGGGGTGTAAAAAGTATGCGTGCGTACAGGGTGGGGGGGAGGGGTCAAGTTTTGACAGACTTTTGCGTGCCTACTAAATGGATGGCCCCTTGTTGTGTTTAGTTTTTTGTCCCTCACCCCGCACCTCCCATTCGCACGTTTGGCTACGTACGGTGCCAAAGAGGTTCAACATACATAGACATTGCAGTTACGGGAAACAAAAAACACACACGGTCCTAATTTTGTCAACACCAAAGGAATGGTGAGCTGAGTAAATCTACAACTGGGATTTGGGTTTGCGTCCGTTAGAGCATAAGGACATCACTCAGCGTCACACGGCCAAACGCACGCATCTACGCATGTACACCATAACGTAGATGTGAAAACCCCCACCAATGATCCTATTCAGACTGTCCACTTTGAAATCACATTCATGGCTAAGTAGACCCTGTGGTTTGTCATGACTTACTTACGCGATCTAACCCAAAAACCTTTATTATGAATGTCAGCTCTTTGGTGACTGCATGCCTACAAGTAGGAAACTTTCGATTTAAAGCTTTCGCGACTGCAGGGATTCATCTTCTTGGTTCTTTCGGTAAAGTCACGTAGAAGGTAAATAATAAAGTAATAACAATAAAACATAATAAAATAAAATATTGTGAGAATTTTATTTAATTGGTTTATTTTTATTATTTAATTATATTATTTCCCTTCTACGTGACTTTACCGAAATAACCAAGAAGTAGGACACTTCATCATTAGACCTTTGCCAGTACCAAAATGTAATAATAGGGTTTTTCCCCTTTTTTCTGGCAACAAAACTGAAACCTTTTAACAAGGATTCATGTCTGCATTAACCACAATACCTGAAGTCAAAATGCAAACAAAAAACATACTTTGATAATATATGATGCATTGCCCTTGAATCTGATTGGTCCACACCAAGGGACGGCTTTCTTTTGAGCCTCGACCCAATTGGTGCTCGACCACATGACGCCAAAAGGTGTACGCCTTTTATTGAACATTTGTAAAATGTTCCCGGATTATTTAAGAAATGTGAAAGACAAATAATCCCACTTTCGTGACGAGATATCACACAAATTAAAGAGACATCACCTAAGGAGCAGGAGCTCCACCTACCGTGCGACTGCTCTCGACGAATTCAATCCCAGAATGCAACGCGGGAAGCCTGTGCGCTCGGTGACGTCAGAGGGGGACCACGTGGGCCGCGGGTTCTGATGTGAAATGTTCGCCGCATAGCTTTCAGCCGCTTGAGCACCAGGTGCACCACACACGCCGTCGATGTCGTGGTACACAGAGGCAAAGATCTCCGTGACACACGGTTGGGTCAAGTGGCGTTAGCGAGTAGCAGCGCCTATGAAGGTCGCTACAGGAGGGGGTGGGTGGCCAGCAACACGTCCGGCCGCCTTTGTCTCCCTAGTGGGGATGTTTACACACTCATGGCACACACACACACACGTGTTACGACTCATGACACACACACACGTGTCATGACATTCAAAGGTGTGTGTGTGTGATCAGGAAAGTTTTTGTGTGATGTTGCGTGGAGACGCTGCTGCCGAGTGGTGGCGCTATCGGCAGTCTGTACAGTGCACACGCTACGAACCCGGCCACCCGCGAGTTCGATTCCCGCTCACGGCCACCAACACCACCAGTGACGATTATCTGAACCCGGTGCTGGGCCTCCGCTAGATTAACTCGGCCTCAAATGAGTAGCTGGTGTAGCGGTGTGTAGTAAACATCGCCACTGGGGAGACAAAGGCGGCCGGGCGTGGTGCTGGCCACCCACCTCTCCTGTAGCGACCTTCATAGGCGCTGCTGTTACTCGCTAACGCCACTTGCCCCTACAGCCTGTAAAGGCTACACGGGGGATCTTTGTACTCGATGTCTACTGCAATGTAGACCGACGCCACTGCTTCTCTACAATAAAGTTTAAAAAATCACAACAACCGACTGGTGAGTACAGCGCCTCTGTACACGAGTATATTATATCTTTTATAGGCGTAAGTTTATATTTTATTCTTGAAAAGTCGTATGTACAGTGGTTGAAAACGTAGGCAAACCACAATTACAGCTCGCAGATAACTCGCAAATTCTATTAACCAACAGCCTCCAATCCCGCCTCCCACATGTTACGAATTAATGAACATCAATACTTTTAACCGATTGTCCACGTCTGTGCGGTGATATCCTAACTGGCTAGCCACTGTAAAGCGACGAGAAGTTTAAAAATAATCAACGGACGCGCTGTGCACGCGTGAGGTAAATGTGTTTACCATTGGGAACCAACATTACTCTGGATTACCAGATGGATGTAAATGTTATTCCTAGTTATTTTATATCGGCAGATTCATACCACACGATTGTTCACCAATGACTTTCACATCTGATATAATTTCGCACGTTTATAAATCACCTCACGTTTATAAATCACCTCACGTTTATAAATTATCAAGTTTATAAATCACCTAACGTTTATAAATCACCTCACGTTTATAAATCACCTCACGTTTATAAATCACCTCACGTTTATAAATCACCTCACGTTTATAAATCACCTCACGTTTATAAATCATCTCACGTTTATAAATCACCTCACGTTTATAAATCACCTCACGTTTATAAATCATGTCAAGTTTATAAATCACCTCACGTTTATAAATCACCTCACGTTTATAAATTATCAAGTTTATAAATCATGTCAAGTTTATAAATCACCTCACGTTTATAAATCACCTCACGTTTATAAATTATCAAGTTTATAAATCACCTCACGTTTATAAATTATCAAGTTTATAAATCACCTCACGTTTATAAATTATCAAGTTTATAAATCACCACACGTTTATAAATCACCTCACGTTTATAAATGATCAAGTTTATAAATCACCTCACATTTATAAATCATGTCAAGTTTATAAATCACCTCACGTTTATAAATCACCTCACGTTTATAAATTATTAAGTTTATAAATCATCTCAAGTTTATAAATCACCTCACGTTTATAAATCACCTCACGTTTATAAATGATCAAGTTTATAAATCATCTCAAGTTTATAAATCACCTCACGGTACTCCGCAGGGGTCCCCGTAGCCCCCCGGTTTAAGAACCACCGCTCTAAGCAATAACTTTGACTTGCAAAGTTCACGCTTTTTGAGGAAAACAAATTCACGATTTTAAAAATTATTGACCCCAATGGTGAAACAGATGACCTATTGGT